GGGCGGTGGGGCGGACGTCGGACCCTGCAGTAGCACTGGCTGAGCCTCACAGCAAGAAGGGCCTGGGCTCGACTCTCGACTCGAGTGCCATTCTGTGTGGAGTTTGTACATTTTCCCTCGAGTCTGTATGGGTTTCCTCCGTGTTCTCCGGTGTCCTGCCATTGCTAAGGGGCCGTCCATGAATGACGTCACGCACCTAGGGGGGTCAGACATTTTTGACGATGTGTGACGAGGGGGGGGGGGGTTGAGAAATGTGACGTCGTATCAAAATGTGCAACTTTAAATATAGACAAGTTCTACTTAATTAAATGGACTTTTTAATGTTTTCTCCTATAACATTAGAGTGCAGCGCCACATTAAATACGCACTACAATGACAATAGTTTAAAGCGATTTGAAGCATGTTTTATTCATATTTGAGGGGGGGTCTGACTTTTTGTGACGCCGTGTGACATCGTCCAAAATCGCGTGACGTCATTTATGGACGGCCCCTAAAATAAACAGTGTAACTGGTATTGGCCAAACAACATCCCATTGCTGAAAATCGCCTGCCAAGTTGAGGTCGCATAGCATCAGCAGCAAAATCCCCCATGCTACGAAAACTCGGCAGCACCCTCCTGCGACTCAGCGAGGCTTGTGTGGGTAAACGATCTGAATAATACATAAATACACAATGATACCAACTTGTCTTCTCGCTCACATGCTCATTCATGTAATGTTCATCTCCTGTTCACAGTCTCAATCAAGTAGTGGAAATTTCACATTCCTATGGCGGGGGCGAGCCATCAAAAGGAAACCAATTGGCTTTAGCTGCAAGTGGTGCTCATTTTATCTGTTCAGTGGTGCCCGGATGGAGGAATGATGGGCTGAGTCAAACCACAACGACGACTTGAAATCACTCCACGACTGCGCCAGCAGTAGTGGTCGTTGTTTTGTGAATCCACTGCTGGATGATGGCTCACGCCGTGTCAGTTGTGGAGGGCATTTGACCAGTGCAGGTTGGTGACGGCGTATGCCCAGCGCAGACGTCACTTTTAGCCACTGATATTAGCCGTGGCATAACTATCAGACTTCTATCACATATTAGTACAATATTACGTATAGTTTTGCGTCTATCACCCATACCTACCAGAGAAGTTCCTTGCTTATAAACAGGGTTTTGGGTTAGATCGCGTAAATGTGTCGTTTATAGACCGATATACAGTTGGATCAAGCAAGTCTGTCTCTGCTGAAGACATTGACACCACCGCCGTTCACTATTCAGTGGCGGTGACGTCACCACGGCATTTGTCAGGCTAGGTGCACGGTGAGACCACGTGATGAATCGAAGGCTGCTCGCAGGAGGTTTAACCGAGGTGACGTCCTGACGCAGCTCCTGTGCGCCGCACCATTACGGACGGTGACGCACCACTCGACGTGGCTACATCGCCCCCTCGTGGGCCCGCCTCTGGTTTATCGCTCAAGGAAAACTCAAGATTCATCCACGAGGAATGCAGGGCAGATTGTCAACGATAGCTGTCATTGCCCGGTTCAACGGCTGAGCACGTGAGTTTGTTTCGCCGTGTCCGGTGGTGAAGAGTTTGGCCAGATCATGAACGTGGCTGAACACAAAATCAATTATGAATTAAGTTTAATAACATAATTGTAAAGCTAATTGAGACGTAACGTTGCGAAAGAGAGGCTGTTTCACGTGTCTCAGTGGGTTAATTACATCTCCTGGTCAAAGAAACACAACAGATTACAAATAATCAGGGCACGTTCCCCATCCACTGTGATTCGTGAACAAGTGCGTTCGGCGGACATTTCCAGGCAGACGGAGGTACCATCTCGCCGGGCGAAGGCGGAGTGGGGGCTTCTCCAGACCAACCACGACAGCAGCAGCAGCAGGAGTCTGCGCTCGACCTCAGCCACCACCACCATCCTCCTCAACCTCCTCCCCGCTCCGATTACGTTACCGCCACCTTGTGGACTGTGGGCAAATCGCCACCCATCGCTAACGTCTCCACCGCTGAACGCACGCAAGGGGCGAGCGGATTATTACAGTGCCACCGTTACAATGACCCAATGCTGGTTACCCATAGTCACGGGGACAGCCGAGGCAAATCCCTAATCCAGGCGCCTTCCCTCTAAGCCAATGACACAATGTGTGCCGCTTTGTGTTGTCCTATGGATAGTCTCACCCCTGCCATAGGAATGTGGAATTTCCCCCCACTGGTTCTGCAGGGCTTTGAACAACAGATGAGCGCCGATGCCTCAATGCCAAATTGAGCCGAACATCACTTTCGTATTTTGTTAACGCGCGGGGGACTCAAAAGGGCAGGATGAGTCTCGATTGCAAGAGTGGTCTGGGTGACTACAACGACAGAAGCGAGAACGTAACGAAATACAGCGAGCAAGCAAACAGCCACCAGAGCAGAAACAATCAAATACTTGTGAGAGACATCCAAATAGAAATCGGCACAGATACAACCGAAAAGCCTTCTGGGAGTGCGTAACTTCAGCAGAATTGGTTATACACAAGCACATTCTGGACAGATTTTTACATTTAGTGTCTATTAAGCAGAGCCAGGCTCGCTTGAATTGCCCGTGTTAAGACACGGGTCCTCAAAGAGCGGACAACACGGGGCAGCGTGGCGGTGAGTCATGCTCCGAGCGCAGCGCGGCTTGGTAGACGCAGCGAGAATCCCAGCGGAGATGCGCGGAGAATTGCGAACTTAAAACAACTCGGGCAGAGAGGGAGGGGCGCGGGCTATGCCGGCCGGTGTGAGTGCACAGCGCTCATGGCCACTTCCGTAGCAATCCTCTTCACGACCACATCGGTAAATGGCGAGCCACCTCATCATCACAGCACAATAACAATGATGATGCAGATTTTGAAACCGGCCACTGTGCTCAGTGAGAGCGAGCGGCTCGCAATTGGAAGTTCGCGAGTTCAAATCCTGGATGGGGTGGGTGGGGGTTGACTCAGCCCATCACCTCTCCCTCCATCCGAGTTCGATTAAATAGGAGGTACCACTTTGTGGGGGGGTGTCCACGGCGATTGTCGTAAGTAAAATGTCACCTACCCTACAAAGGAACGTGGAATTTCCACCGCCAGCTCTACAGATCTGCAAACGGGAGTGCAGCACCGCCTCCGATTTGCGTTTGTTCACCGTGTTCGATTGCTTCTGTCACGTGGTTATGTTTTTGTTGCTTTTGTCTCGAATTCTATTGGCTCGCTCACTCTACCTTTCGTCCTCGCTTTGTCCGATTGCGGTGCTGGGGGTCACGCTCGCACGTGAGGCTCTGCCGGTTTAACAAAACCACTACACTTGAAACATTCTTTGTGACAATAGGCGGCACTCTATTTAACGAGATCAATGAATGAAAACCTGTTATGACTGCGAGGCCTAGCGACGGCGCTGCGGGGCTCTGGAGGATTTAGCGGAGATCCTGACGCATAGGCTTAGAGATCGGTCACACCAGGACCTTGACCCCTTCTAATCCCCATGACCCCTCCATATCCGTGTAGGGGTCCAAATCCCCTCGCTCGAGCAGGAGCGGGGGGGGGGCTGTGATGGGGAGGGGTTGCGAGGTGCTGTCGTGGACACATGGTTATTGGATATAAAAATCTGAACTCAAATGCGTACCCGGTATGATGTGTAAGCATCAGCACGAGGGAGACAAAGGCAGCCGGGCGTAGTACTGACCACCCACCCCTGGTGTGCCTTTCTGGCACTTGCTCCTGCAGCCTGTTGCGACATGGGTGGTCATTGTCTCTTTGTGACGCGTGGTCACCTGGTTGGGTGAGCAAGTGGCTCGCAGCCGGCAAGTTGCGAGTTAACATCCTGAATCCTGGCTGGGGGGTGATGGACATCATTCCTCTATTGTCGATAAAATTACATCTACCTAAATATTCACCTACCTAGCACCTCATACGTTCACCTAAACATAAGCACCACTTTGTGGGGAGGTCAGTAGTGGTTATCGTTCAGACAGACGCGCCCCCGTCATAGGAACGTATAAATTCCACCCTGTGGCTTTGCAAGGCTGTGAACAGGAGATGAGCACCGATGTCTCAATGTGCATTTGAGCAGCAGGAATCACTCCGACGTCGGATGTTCAACAACGAGAAAGCGCAAAGATCTCCGCTCACAAGGCGCGCGAGAGACGCGATCGGTCCAACGCCTTCATGCTCGTTAGCGCAGCAGCAAATCACTCGCACGAGAAACACTCCACGCTCCGAACTGAGACACTTGACGGCATCGCACGGGATGGAGTGAGGCTCACGCAATAGCGAATCAACGCCGAGCAATCATTGCTCCCATGGACGGCACAAGCCGGATCCTCGCTGCTGCTGTCACATCTGGCTGTGCAGCGCAAGGCTTCCACCGCATTGCTGCACCACACAGGGTTCAGAGTGAAGCAGCACTCGGAGTGATTGATGGTCCCGCACTCATTGGGTCACTGGCGGTCAGTCGCCTCTTTATCACTCTTTAATCGTGACTGCAGTGGCGACTGTTCCCGCAATCTTCACTCGTTGATTCCTCCACCCATGGTGTGGATTCGGGTTACCAGACACTGAATCGTCTCATCCACACAGTTTTCAACCACCACACTACAGGTCACAGCAAGACTCACTCACTTACCCACTCACCCACACACTCACCACACTGCAGGTCACTTCCCTTTCTGCTTCTTCCCTCGCACTGTTCCACTCTGGAATTCCCTCTCCCACCATCATCGTCATCTCTTCCCGCAAAGATCTTCCAACAATAATAACCGTGCTTAATTCATGAAACGTGTTAACGCTTATCTATGACCACTTCGACAGCACTGTTTGTTGCTGACCGCTTGACGTTTGGCCCTTTGATAAGCAACTGTGTTAAAAATAATCACATATGGGTGAGTGGGTGTTTTTTCGGGTGTGTGGGCAGGTGAGTGGATAAGTGGGTGGGTAGGTGATTTAAAGGGTAAGGTGGTGGTTAACTGGGTAGGTTTATGGGTAGGTGAGCCAGTGGGTGAGTGGGTGTGTAGATTTATCAACACGTGCAGGCGAGCTGCTCAGAAACAGCAGCAAGGCGCCACTCCATGTGCCCTGCCCCTACGCACGTCACGCGTTCACCACACTGCACGCACAATCCTCTCAGCCTTGTCTCGACCACCAACTCGAAAGAGTTTGTTTCACTGTTGCCTGTTGGCTCAGCCACATTATTCAACTGTTTTGGAGGCGGTGGTCGAGACAATTACACGGCCGCCAGTTTCTCCTCTCGGTGATGTTCGTGCCGTGCGGATTACCCGAGATTACTCCCGGGTCTCGCAAAGCCGAGGGGATTTGTTGCTACGCAGTGGCTCAGACAAATGCTTTGAGCCTTTGGCGAGCGGTGTCGGGGATGGGAGAATCGCGGCGCTCGCGAGTGGCCCTCCCCGGCCCTTCTCGCGTCAGTTGGCGGTCCAGGACCTAACTGAATCTAAACCAACCGGTGCTGTTTGTCGCTGGCCGCTTTATGCGTTGCGCCTCTGGACCCTGCGCTCAGAAACTGGGGGACAAAAGCAAATGGCGTAACCGAACCGTTTGGGTTTTTTTCTCTTAACCGGTTTTCGTAGTGGCACCGTGGATTGTTGCTCGGGTTCGAGTGTCTGTCGGGCATGGTGCCCGGTTCGTGACAGAGCAGAGGGGCAGCCGAGGGACGTTGACGGGCAGCGAGTGGCGGTGGAGCGGAAACGCAGCGCTGGTGGAAGCTTTGGTGATGTCACCCAACGAGCCAGCAAGGGTGGACTGCGAGATGCCTTGCGACTTTTGAAAAGTAAAATCTGACAGCGATCGCCTGGTTAGTTTCGTTGTTGTCCGGAAGCGGAAATCGCCACGGTTTTGCCGAGAAATTTGTGTCTTAACCTGGAATTGAAATCGTAAGCTACAGGAATATCAGCGTCATCAGCAGAAGCATTATCATCAGCAGCACCACCGTAATATTGGATCTGCGGTGACATCAACACCAGCAGCAGGATGTAAAGTACCTGCATGGGAAACACGACTGAGTAGAGACCTGCAGCAGCAGCAACAGCGCCAGCAGAATACAACCATAAGCTGCACCACCACCACCACCAGGGGCCTCAGCAGTCATCTCAGCATCAGCACTGCCACCGCCAGTACCGACGGTCATAAACTCAGCAGAATACTGTTACCCCACCACGACAACTCACCGCCGCCACCAGCCCCAACAGCATCACCACCACTAACCGGTAGGACCATCAGTATCACCACCAGCTCGGGCAGTATCACCACCACTCTCACATACACCACTAACCCGTAGGACCATCAGTATCACCACCACTCTCACATACACCACTAACCCGTAGGACCATCAGTATCACCACCATTCACCACCAGCTCGGGCAGTATCACCACCACTCTCACATACACCACTAACCCGTAGGACCATCAGTATCACCACCACTCACCACCAGCTCGGGCAGTATCACCACCACTCTCACATACACCACTAACCCGTAGGACCATCAGTATCACCACCACTCACCACCAGCTCGGGCAGTATCACCACCACTCTCACATACACCACTAACCCGTAGGACCATCAGTATCACCACCACTCACCACCAGCTCGGGCAGTATCACCACCACTCTCACATACACCACTAACCCGTAGGACCATCAGTATCACCGCTACTAACACGTAGGACCATCAGTATCACCACCACTCACAACCAGCTCGGGCAGTATCACCACCACTCTCACATACACCACTAACCCGTAGGACCATCAGTATCACCACCATTCACCACCAGCTCGGGCAGTATCACCACCACTCTCACATACACCACTAACCCGTAGGACCATCAGTATCACCACCACTCACCACCAGCTCGGGCAGTATCACCACCACTCTCACATACACCACTCACCACCAGGTCAGCCGTATCACCACCACACACCGGCAGGCACAGCAGGATGGTGTGCGCAGCGACGAGCAGCACAGCGTGGCTCCGCGTCAAGGCGTCCGTGCTGCAGAACCTGCTGCTCATCCTCTCCGTCATGTCGGTGATCGTGGGCTGCCTCCTGGGCTTCCTGCTGCGAGCCAAGCAGCTCTCCCAGCAGGTGACGAGCTTCCAGCACGCGTGCCACGCGTCCGCGTGTCGGTGTGTGTCTCGGCCTCGCTGTGCGCTGCGTTGCACCACTGAGTAAATAACCTCACATTCAATAAGCCTTCAGAGCCAGGGTGAACATCCGGCTCCAAACGTAATTAATGCATTAAACGAGGTAAAACTGATGGAGAAACAGCACAAATGCAGCATCTGTTAATACTTGGAAATACAAATACAATGAATGAACACTACAGCATCATAACATTGTCTTAGATAACATGAAACCCAAAAATAGATACTGGATGGACCAGGCACCTACATTAGTACTGAATAGCTATACAAGAGAATAAGCTACTGTGTTAAGGGCACATTGTGTGATCACCATGCTGCAGCCTAAATGTACAGCACTACACATAACACTGAACTGTGGATGAGATATGTAGTCATCCTTGCTCTCAAGATTGCAATAAGGTTACATGGGTACGAGTCTGACTCGGCTTATTCAATTACAAGTAACATTCACAATAAGGGAAGTGGCAGGCTTCGTTGTTAACTAGGCTTCATATTTATCATAACAATTTAACAGCATTATAACGGTGATTATAACATTATAATAGCATTCCCAGTATTATAAGAACGTAAACGAACTTACAGACAATGCTTCTTGAAGTCCCACAATGAACAGATACACCTGTCTTCACGGAGACGTTATTTGTGCCTCCATATTATACTCTGTGTAATAGCTGACACCCTGCCGCGTGGCTGAGAGGGAAACTTAACTTCCTGGTCACGTGACCAAATTCAACCTCCGAACAGGAAATTCCTGTGTATACACACACACACCTGCCGTGAGGCAAACACCTGCCGTGAGGCAAAGAACAGTGTGAGTCTGCGTGTGACACCTGTCGACAGGTGTGTCTATGTGTGTGATACTTGTGTAGAGGTGTGTGTGACACCTGTCATCAGGTGTGTGTGTGTGACACCTGTCGACAGGTGTGTCTATGTGTGTGATACCTGTGTAGAGGTGTATGTGACACCTGTCATCAGGTGTGTGTGATACCTGTGTAGAGGTGCGTGTGTGACACCTGTCATCAGGTGTGTGTGTGTGTGATACCTGTCATCAGGTGTGTGTGTGTGTGACACCTGTCATCAGGTGTGTGTGATACCTGTGTAGAGGTGTGTGTGACACCTGTCATCAGGTGTGTGTGTGTGACACCTGTCGACAGGTGTGTCTATGTGTGTGATACCTGTGTAGAGGTGTGTGTGTGACACCTGTCATCAGATGTGTGTGTGACACCTGTCATCAGGTGTGTGTGTGTGACACCTGTCGACAGGTGTGTCTATGTGTGTGATACCTGTGTAGAGGTGTGTGTGTGACACCTGTCATCAGATGTGTGTGTGACACCTGTCATCAGGTGTGTGTGTGTGTGTGACACCTGTCATCAGGTATGTGTGTGTGTGATACCTGTCAAGAGGTGTGTGTGTGTGACACCTGTCATCAGGTGTGTGTGTGACACCTGTCAAGAGGTGTGTGTGTGTGTGACACCTGTCATCAGGTGTGTGTGACACTTGTCAAGAGGTGTGTGTGTGACACCTGTCATCAGGTGTGTGTGTGTGTGTGACACCTGTCATCAGGTGTGTGTGTGTGTTACACCTGTCATCAGGTGTGTGTGTGTGTGACACCTGTCATCAGGTGTGTGTGTGTGTGACACCTGTCATCAGGTGTGTGTGATACCTGTGTAGAGGTGCGTGTGTGACACCTGTCATCAGGTGTGTGTGTGTGTGTGTGATACCTGTCATCAGGTGTGTGTGTGTGACACCTGTCATCAGGTGTGTGTGATACCTGTGTAGAGGTGTGTGTGTGTGACACCTGTCATCAGGTGTGTGTGTGACACCTGTCATCAGGTATGTGTGTGTGATACCTGTCAAGAGGTGTGTATGTGACACCTGTTATCAGGTGTGTGTGTGTGATACCTGTCATCAGGTGTGTGTGTGTGACACCTGTCATCAGGTATGTGTGTGACACCTGTCAAGAGGTGTGTGTGTGTGACACCTGTCAAGAGGTGTGTGTGTGTGACACCTGTCATCAGGTATGTGTGTGTGATACCTGTCATCAGGTATGTGTGTGTGACACCTGTCAACAGGTGTGTGTGTGACACCTGTCAAGAGGTGTGTGTGTGACACCTGTCATCAGGTATGTGTGTGTGATACCTGTCAAGAGGTGTGTGTGTGACACCTGTCAAGAGGTGTGTGTGTGACACCTGTCATCAGGTATGTGTGTGTGATACCTGTCAAGAGGTGTGTGTGTGACACCTGTCAAGAGGTGTGTGTGTGTGTGACACCTGTCAACAGGTGTGTGTGTGACACCTGTCAACAGGTGTGTGTGACACCTGTCAAGAGGTGTGTGTGTGTGATACCTGTCATCAGGTATGTGTGTGTGACACCTGTCAACAGGTGTGTGTGTGACACCTGCCAAGAGGTGTGTGTGTGAGACCTGTCAAGAGGTGTGTGTGTTTGACACCTGTCATCAGGTGTGTGTGTGACACGTGTCATCAGGTGTGTGTGTGACACCTGTCATCAGGTGTGTGTGATACCTGTGTAGAGGTGTGTGTGTGTGTGTGACACCTGTCATCAGGTATGTGTGTGTGATACCTGTCAAGAGGTGTGTGTGTGACACCTGTCAAGAGGTGTGTGTGTGTGACACCTGTCAACAGGTGTGTGTGTGACACCTGTCAACAGGTGTGTGTGACACCTGTCAAGAGGTGTGTGTGTGACACCTGTCGACAGGGGTGTGTGATACCTGTATAGAGGTGTGTGTGTGTGTGACACCTGTCATCAGGTGTGTGTGACACCTGTCATCAGGTATGTGTGTGTGATACCTGTCATCAGGTATGTGTGTGTGTGACACCTGTCATCAGGTGTGTGTGTGATACCTGTCAAGAGGTGTGTGTGTGTGTGACACCTGTCATCAGGTGTGTGTGACACCTGTCATCAGGTGTGTGTGTGTGTGTGTGTGACACCTGTCATCAGGTGTGTGTGTGTGACACCTGTCATCAGGTGTGTGTGTGACACCTGTCATCAGGTATGTGTGTGTGTGACACCTGTCATCAGGTGTGTGTGTGTTACACCTGTCATCAGGTGTGTGTGACACCTGTCATCAGGTGTGTGTGTGTGTGTTACACCTGTCATCAGGTGTGTGTGACACCTGTCATCAGGTATGTGTGTGTGATACCTGTCATCAGGTATGTGTGTGTGTGACACCTGTCATCAGGTGTGTGTGTGATACCTGTCAAAAGGTGTGTGTGTGTGTGTGTGATACCTGGCAAGAGGTGTGTGTGTGTGATACTTGTCATCAGGTGTGTGTGATACCTGGCAAGAGGTGTGTGACACCTGTCATCAGCTGTGTGATACCTGTCAAGAGGTGTGTGTGTGTGTGACACCTGTCAATAATGTTGCCCGCTCGCACGCACGGGGTTTCTACAGGTGCTCCAGTTTACACCCAAATGTATAAACACTCATTGTCTGAAAACGTCTCAATTTATCGGGGACGGCAGAACCTGGGCAGTTGTTAGTGCCGACTCACAGCCTGGCTGCCTTCCCGCGTGTCTGTGGTTCGTCAGCGACTATGAGATTCGAACTGCATCAACGACGACGCGACATTAAACTAAAATTAACAATAAGAGGTGTGTGTGAGGCGTGTGATAGGTGTGTTCACGTCGTGTACAGGTGTCTGCAGATGAGACACACGTGCCTTGGCCTTGTAAGCCAGTCACGCCAAGAATCGTCAACACAACGTCGAGGAAGTCAGAATATTTGACCCCAAATTTATTTTGACTTCCTGGACCTTGTCTTGAAGACACCTGACGCAGTTTCAAGCCAAACGTCGTGAATCAAATCGCTGCTCAATGTAGGCCCTGGGATTTGTTCTCCAACTCATCGGCGCTGATCTGAGCTACAACAACAATCAGTGCATTAACTGCTTGTACACCACGTGACAAGTGAACATGCGTTCGGCTGTGTCGTGTGATGGAAGGCCTACGACACACGTTTGGGCATTAAATGGCTTCACCCAAATATTAATTACAAATCATATCAGCTGCGCAAGGCTCCTCCGTGTTAACATTTGGATTCGTTTGGCCCGATGGTCAGTCTCTGGTGTGCTGTGCTCTGTAAAGCGCCTGGTCGTCTGCCCTGCAGGAGATCCAGTATCTGGCTTTCCCAGGTGAGCTGCTCATGCGCATGCTCAAGATGCTCATCCTACCCCTCGTCACATCCAGGTACGGGACACCTGTGTGTATGCGTGTTGTGATGAGCGGTGGTGCAGTGGTTAGCGAGTTCATATCCTGGGAAGGGTTGACTCTTACCATCACCCCTCCCCCCGGAGTTGATACAATGAGTGCCATTTTTTGGCGAAGATCAAGTGGCTGTCCTATGGATATACTCGCCCCCGTCATAGGAACGTGGAAGTTCCACCATTGGCTCAGGGCCTTAAACAGAAGATGAGCACCAATGCCTCGATGTTGCTCAGTAGAGCAGGAACTCACTTTAACTCTTCGACTCTGAACTTGGCAAAACCGTTTCAGGCGACGGCCCTCTGACAGGGCGGAGAGGCGCACCAAAGCGGTTAGTGCATCACGCTGCGGCCGCGTTGCCTTGGCCTGGAATTCGCGACGTCCCCGGGTCTCCTCCCTCCCACTCGGGGCTCGGAACAAGAGCCCTTTGACCCATAGTCCCTGAGCCGTGGGATTAAGTGCAGTGTAAATCTACGCGGAGATGCAGGTGGCGGAGTTCTATGACGATCGCAAATGGCATGATGCCAGGTGGTACACCTGAATACGACTCACGGGACAGAGCAGAGAGAGCACGCGTCGTCCGCCCCACCCCACTCGGTCCACAGACCCCTGCGCTGCTGTCGCCAACTCTCCGTTTGATGTTTTGTTTTTACGTTAAAACGAAACTCTGTCATTTAAAACCGTGCTGTGCCTGCAGCCTCATCTCTGGCCTGGCCGCCCTGGACAGCAAGACGTGCGCCCGCCTGGGCCTGGTGACGGTCTCCTACTACCTGAGCACCACGCTGCTCGCCGTGCTCATCGGCATCGTGCTGGCGTGCGCCGTGCACCCGGGCAGCGCGGCGCAGCGCGACGGCCGCGACCAAGGAGGCCGCAGCCTGCCAAGCTCGGCGGACGCCCTGCTCGACCTCATACGGTGGCCACGGGGCCTGTGACGGCCACGACACACCGACCCTCCACGCTCTACACTTGTTCCGCCGAGACATTGTACTCTGACATTATGACCGCCGGTTCACTTGTTGGCGTTGTTGGTGCTGTTGCTGCTGTTGAGCGACCTTTCCGATGTCACCGCACTCTCGTTGCAGAAACATGTTTCCAGCCAACCTCGTGGAGGCAACGTTCCAGCAGGTGAGACCCACACAGATCTCTGCACACAGATCTCTCCACGGAGATGGAGCCACGAAATCAGCCCGTGTGGTGGCGGCTTTGGAAAGCCTTCATCCAGCAGTGGATAGACCACGGCCGATGACGATGATGAGGGCGACGATTATTTGTTTTCTCAGTACCGCACCAACATGGTTTCCGTGGTGAAGCCGCGAAACGAGACTCCGCACCTCGTGTCACCCGTCACGTCAACAGGCACCACCCTGCCTCCCAACATCACTAGTGGTGGAGGTGCTGGTAGAGGTGGTGGTCGTAGCAAATGGCCTCCAACCAAGCGACCAGCCCCCTCACAGCACCAGCAACACCAGCAGCAGCGAAAGGATAGCCAGCAGCAGCACCCGGCCAGACACGGGTGAGTAAATTCAACTGTGTGAGCGTGGTTCTCCCCTAGGTCGACGCATTCTCAAATGAGTAGCTGGTGCAGTGTAAACATCTCCACTATGGAGACAAAGGCGGCCGGTTGTGGTGCTGGCCACCCACCCCCTCATGTGCCGTTTCGGCTTTCATAGGTGCTCGCACACAGCACTTGCCCTCAGAGTCTGTTGAAGGCAATACGGGGGATCTTTATCTTTGTGTGCCTGTGTGTAGTTCTCTGGTTGCCTCCCACAGCTAAAAAAACAAAGCCACACAACGTTACCGCCGTTGACCAAACTTCCCAACGCGGAGAAGTTCCTCGATTGGGATGAGAGACGTAAAGAGCATTGCCCCATTGCCACGCTTGGAAGGACCCTCCTGAAAAGGAGTTGAGACTTTTGTCGTTAATCAAGCATCGTAGAGGAATAATTATAATAGCAATAACACACTCCAGCCACTCGAAGCCATTGGTTCTCTTTACTCTTCATCCAGAGCGGGCGATGAGGTGGAGACGACGATTGAAGGCCGACCGCACTTCGTGTTTCACGTCGTGGCGGATGATGACGACGATGGTGACGGGGATGGTGACGACGGCGGTAGCGGTCGTGGTGGCGGCGTTGCCACGGAAAGGGTGCTGGTGGAGATGGTTACGCTGCCGCCCCGCGTGTCTTACCGGAGCGTCCCGGGCACCAGCGGGGGAATGAACGTCTTGGGAATCGTCATCTTTTCAGCTACCATGGGTGCGACCGCCAGCGGCTTCCATTCCGACGTAGACAATGGAACCACCGTGACGGTGTAACCTCGTGACGGTGTTACCTCGTGTAACCTCGTGACGGTGTAACCTCGTGACGGTGTTACCTCGTGTTACCTCGTGACGGTGTTACCTCGTGTTACCTCGTGACGGTGTTACCTCGTGACGGTGTTACCTCGTGTAACCTCGTGACGGTGTTACCTCGTGTTACCTCGTGACGGTGTTACCTCGTGTTACCTCGTGACGGTGTAACCTCGTGACGGTGTAACCTCGTGACGGTGTTACCTCGTGACGGTGTAACCTCGTGACGGTGTTACCTCGTGTTACCTCGTGACGGTGTAACCTCGTGACGGTGTAACCTCGTGACGGTGTTACCTCGTGACGGTGTTACCTCGTGACGGTGTTACCTCGTGTTACCTCGTGACGGTGTAACCTCGTGACGGTGTAACCTCGTGACGGTGTTACCTCGTGTTACCTCGTGACGGTGTTACCTCGTGACGGTGTTACCTCGTGTTACCTCGTGACGGTGTAACCTCGTGACGGTGTAACCTCGTGACGGTGTTACCTCGTGACGGTGTTACCTCGTGTTACCTCGTGACGGTGTTACCTCGTGACGGTGTTACCTCGTGAAGGTGTTATCTCGTGACGGTGTTACCTGGTAAAAGACAGTGTTATCTCGTGATGGTGTTACCTGGTAAAAGACAGTGTTATCTCGTGACTGTGTTACCTGGTAAAAGACAGTGTTATCTCGTGATGGTGTTACCTGGTAAAAGACAGTGTTATCTCGTGATGGTGTTACCTGGTAAAAGACAGTGTTATCTCCTGACGGTGTTACCTGGTGAAAGACAGTGTTATCTCGTGATGGTGTTACCTGGTAAAAGACAGTGTTATCTCGTGATGGTGTTACCTGGTAAAAGACAGTGTTATCTCGTGACGGTGTTACCTGGTAAAAGACAGTGTTATCTCGTGATGGTGTTACCTGGTAAAAGACAGTGTTATCTCGTGACGGTGTTACCTGGTAAAAGACAGTGTTACCTCGTGATGGTGTTACCTGGTAAAAGACAGTGCTATCTCGTGATGGTGTTACCTGGTAAAAGACAGTGTTATCTCGTGACGGTGTTACCTGGTGAAAGACAGTGTTATCTCGTGATGGTGTTACCTGGTAAAAGACAGTGTTATCTCGTGATGGTGTTACCTGGTAAAAGACAGTGTTACCTCGTGATGGTGTTACCTGGTAAAAGACAGTGTTATCTCGTGATGGTGTTACCTGGTAAAAGACAGTGTTATCTCGTGATGGTGTTACCTGGTGAAAGACAGTGTTATCTCGTGATGGTGTTACCTGGTAAAAGACAGTGTTATCTCGTGATGGTGTTACCTGGTAAAAGACAGTGTTATCTCGTGACGGTGTTACCTGGTGAAAGACAGTGTTATCTCGTGATGGTGTTACCTGGTAAAAGACAGTGTTATCTCGTGACTGTGTTACCTGGTAAAAGACAGTGTTATCTCGTGACGGTGTTACCTGGTGAAAGACAGTGTTATCTCGTGACGGTGTTACCTGGTAAAAGACAGTGTTATCTCGTGACTGTGTTACCTGGTAAAAGACAGTGTTATCTCGTGACGGTGTTACCTGGTAAAAGACAGTGTTATCTCCTGACGGTGTTACCTGGTAAAAGACAGTGTTATCTCCTGACGGTGTTACCTGGTAAAAGACAGTGTTATCTCGTGATGGTGTTACCTGGTAAATGACAGTGTTATCTCGTGACGGTGTTACCTGGTAAAAGACAGTGTTATCTCGTGATGGTGTTACCTGGTAAAAGACAGTGTTATCTCGTGACGGTGTTACCTGGTAAAAGACAGTGTTATCTTGTGACAGTGTTACCTGGTAAAAGACAGTGTTATCTCCTGACGGTGTTACCTGGTAAAAGACAGTGTTATCTCGTGATGGTGTTACCTGGTAAAAGACAGTGTTACCTCGTGATGGTGTTACCTGGTAAAAGACAGTGTTACCTCGTGATGGTGTTACCTGGTAAAAGACAGTGTTACCTCGTGATGGTGTTACCTGGTAAAAGACAGTGTTATCTCCTGACGGTGTTACCTGGTAAAAGACAGTGTTATCTCGTGACGGTGTTACCTGGTAAAAGACAGTGTTATCTCGTGACGGTGTTACCTGGTAAAAGACAGTGTTATCTCGTGACGGTGTTACCTGGTAAAAGACAGTGTTATCTCGTGATGGTGTTACCTGGTAAAAGACTGTTACCTCGTGACGGTGTTACCTGGTAAAAGACAGTGTTATCTCGTGACGGTGTTACCTGGTGAAAGACAGTGTTATCTCGTGACGGTGTTACCTGGTAAAAGACAGTGTTATCTCGTGATGGTGTTACCTGGTAAAAGACAGTGTTATCTCGTGACGGTGTTACCTGGTAAAATACAGTGTTATCTCCTGACGGTGTTACCTGGTAAAAGACAGTGTTATCTCGTGACGGTGTTACCTGGTAAAAGACAGTGTTATCTCCTGACGGTGTTACCTGGTAAAAGACAGTGTTATCTCCTGACGGTGTTACCTGGTAAAAGACAGTGTTACCTCGTGATGGTGTTACCTGGTAAAAGACAGTGTTATCTCGTGACGGTGTTACCTGGTAAAAGACAGTGTTATCTCGTGACGGTGTTACCTGGTAAAGACAGTGCTATCTCGTGTTACAATGGCTTTGCGTGGAACTAGGAGCCATGTCCTGTCTGACCTGTAACCGTCTGTGCAGTTCACCAGCGATGGTGCAAGCAAGCCCCACTCTGCCGTCAAGAGTTGAACCAATGCTGCTAATAACATGCACTCCCAGAATGCTGTTTGGTCGATGGGATGTGTAAAGAAAATACTTAATGTGGAGGGATAGATGTGTGAAGGTGGTGAATTATCCACGGATTCGTGTTCTTTATCGATAACAATGCTCCTGGAAAGCTGAAGCGGGCTGAGGCAGGCACAGCATTGGGGAGTAATGCGTTTGAGCAGAAACGCAATCGGAACGACGCGAGTTCACGTTCTGGTTGTGGGGAGGTTGAATCGCCCTTGCCAACGCACAACGTTGGGCCAAGGGTGGCGTGTAGTTGGAACCGGCAGAGCAACGTTGAGCCAATGTTGGTCTGCCGTTTCCAGTTGGCTGGGCAATGCGGGTGATGTGGCTGTGTGCTGGCGCTCGCGGCGTGTGCTCTAGGGGTGATGCTCGGCAAGATGGGACACAACGGCTTGCCGCTCGTCACGTTCTGCCAGTGTCTCAATGAGGCTGTGCTGCGCATTGTATCCGTCACTGTGTGGTGGGTCTCACCACCGGCACACTACCAACACCACCAGTACCACCGATGACACCCATGCACTCCCAATACTACCAATGACACTATTCCTTTACCAAGAGCACCACCACAATCAACCCACTCCCCCTCCCTGCACCACCACAACCTCTCCGACCTCCCGTCCGCCCGTGTCCCCCCAGGTACTTCCCGCTGGGCATCGTGTTCCTGGTGGCCGCCAAAGTCCTGGAGATGGACGACCCATCCCAGCTGGGCCGGCGCCTGGGCCTCTACTCGGCCACGGTGGTGGCGGGGCTGGTGCTGCATGGCCTCATCGTGCTGCCCTGCATCTACTGCGCCGTCACTCGCCGCAACCCCGTGGCCTTCATGCGCGGCATGCTGCAGGCCCTGCTCATTGCGCTCGCCACCTCCTCCAGGTGCCCGCCGGCCTCGCCGCCAATGCCAATAGCCGGATGGCCAGCCCGACGGGGCCGCCACACGAGCCCAACGTCGTTGTCTCCGTCGTATGACCGTTGTTGTTGTCGTTGTCGCTGTTGTTGTGAGGTAGCTCGGCGACGCTGCCCATCACGTTCCGCTGCCTGCTGGAGAACAATCACATCGACCGTCGCATCGCGCGCTTCGTGCTGCCGGTGGGGGCCACCATCAACATGGACGGCACTGCACTGTACGAGGCCGTGGCGGCCATCTTCATCGCCCAGGTCAACGGCTACGACCTGGACCTGGGCCAACTCATCACCATCAGGTGCCTCCTCATCCTCATCCTCCTCGGCCTCCTCATCCTCCTCCCTGCCAAACCCCGCAACCTGGGCCGGGGATGCCATGACCCAGGGCAGAGTGGCGCTTGCCACTTGTTGCATAGGTTCGCGGTTCGAATGTGGTGGCTGCCCTGATTAAGAATGTGGTGGTGCTGCTCTATTTATAAAAAAAAATACTACGACGCACCATCTGATTAGCTCGCGGCAGAACGTTAAGGATGTCGTGATGCCATTCGCAAGAGGAGGCCATAGTGTGCCAGCGTCACGGTCCAAATTTGAAAATTACTCAATTACTATCACGCAGCAGCGGCACTCATCACCCCCTATCACAAAAACTTGGCAGGACCCTCCTGTGAAGAGTTGAATCTTTGTTCACGCTACCTGGATGAGCAAGCGAAAAAAAACAGTAGCCGTGCGTGTGTGTGACCATGAGAGTCTCTACATAATGTTCCGTGCCTCTGCGTGCATCTCCTCGGGACTCGTCAGCATCACGGCTACGGCAGCCAGCATCGGCGCCGCCGGGATTCCACAGTCGGGCCTCGTCACGATGGCCATCGTGCTCACGTCCGTGGGGCTGCCCAGCGAGGACATCTCCCTCATCGTCGCCGTCGACTGGGCGCTGTGGGTACACACGCACGCAAGGCAAAGCTCCCCCTTGTAGCCCACCCGGTCTGTCGGGGCAAGTGCCGGGGGGGTCATGCGGCTGTTGTCACGCCCGGGCGCTCGACGATACCAATGGCCGCCATTAGGTGGTGACATCACTGCGGCGCTTGTGCCAGGCTAGGTGCACTTCAAGGCCAGTGAAGTGTGGAAGGCTACTAGTTGAAAAGAGGCCATGGAACAGACCCAGGTGTCATGGGTTGACCGACATGACTGGCAGACGACAATAACCACACACGCCTACCACACAGAGACAAGCACACACATAGACTAGCGGAGAGATACAGAGACACGCGCTTGTCATCTGTGTTTCCATCTGTCTGTCCATCTAACCTGCACTCTGTCCATCTCTCAGCGTACCCACCTAACCTTGTGTCCGTGCATGTGTCTGTACATGGGGGTTTTTGTCTCTGGCTGCAGGGACCGTTTCCGGACTATGGTGAATGTTCTGGGTGACTCTCTGGGAGCCGGGATCATATCTCACATCTGCCGCAAGGAGTTCCAACAGCTGGACGGGGTGAGCCCATCAGCATCATCATCAGCCGTGGTCTATCTACTGCTGGATGAAGCCCTCCCCCCCAAAGCCATTGCCATCTCTCATGACCGTGACGGTTGGGGTGCCCAGCAGTGGAGCGAGCGGCTCACAGCGATCATAAGGTCGTGAGTTAAGATCACTGGTTTGGGGAAGTGGGGTTGATTCAGCTCATCATCATCCCTCCCTCGGGAGTCCGTAAAATTTGCACCACTGTGGGGAAGTCAACAGTGGATGTGCTATGGAGAGAATTGCACCACCCCCCTTACCCCCGCCAGAGGAATATGGAATTCCCACCACTGGTTCTGCATGGCTTCAAACAAGAGATGAGCACCAATGCCTCAATGGTAATTCGAGCAGAAAGTCATTGACTTTTTACATTCAAAATCGATAATGACTTAATTATCATTATATCTTGACTTAAAGCTTTCGTGACTGCAGGAATGCATATTCTTTGGGTCTTTTGGTAAAGTTACATAGATAGGTTCAAAGAAAATAACAAAAAATAACAAAAAAACTACGACGTTTCGATCGCAACACAAGCCTTCGTGATCAGGAAGAGGGGGTTAGCTTCTAAAGGTAAAATGTTTATAAAGGTTTGAAATGGGTGTAGCCCAAATGTCAGCAGCCAATGTTAATGTAAGTGGGGGCAGCGACCGCGATGGTGGTGGGTTTCCCCACCAATCAAAGGGCTGCCCAGTAAAAATGAGCATGACAATGTAAGATCGTTGAGCGGGCTCCACGGCGGGCACCCTGAGGTGGCTATGTTAATGTGAGAGATTAGCGTGTTAATGGCAGATCGCAAAGCAAAAACCTCGAGCTCGGTGAGCGAGGTGGCTGTGTTAGGGTGAGAAATTTTACCTGTTAATGTAAAATCAGAGAGCCAAAAATAACAACTAAGAGCAGAAGGTGGTAGGATGGAAATATCACAACCTTCCAATGATTTCTCAGTTTATACCCATCTTCTCAATTGAAATTGTGCCTGTGTCTATATATACGGATGGCTTCATGAACTAATCTTTGTTAATAGCCAGTGGGTTTGCAAAGTACCTTCGTCTTAGAGAAATCAATTTCGTGTGAGCCCACTGCATTAAAACAATGATCAGCCACGGCCAAGGTATTGGTCCTACCGTGTTTCAGTTCTGACTTATATTCACAAACACGGTCCGAGACATGTCGCTTAGTTTCCCCAATGAAACTATTGGCACAGACACAGCTTCATTTGTAGATGCCGGAGTATTGTATGTCAGGGATCACATCCTTCACAGATGGGATCAGATCACGATTTTATGTACTATGTTAAATCGAACCTGGATCTTGTGTTTGCTCATGATTTTGGAAATATTTTTAGTGACCCCTGCTATGTATGGTACGATGATGGTTTTGATTGGATCCTCAGATGGTTCTTTCCCAACGGTTGGAGTGATAGGTTTACAGATTGGGTAGTCTCAATATCCATTCATCTTGAGAGCTTGGTGTACGTCTTCCAGTTCACTGGCTAGATGATGATGGTCGGAAATACATCGAGCTCTATGGTGAGGGAAGTCTTCTGGGAAGGATGGTGGTGGGAGTCAGGTTTAGATATGCATCCGTATGGGTGGCTTTCCTGTAGACAGTGTCCCATTGAGCCATCTGGTCTCCTTTCGATTAAAACATCCAAGAATGGTAGCTTGCCATCCTTTTTCACCTCTATGGTGAATTTGATGGCTGGGTGTATGGAGTTGATGTGGTTGAGGAATTGGATCAGAGCTGGTCGGCAATGTGGCCAGATGATGAGCGTGTCATCTACGTACCTCTTCCAGAAGGATAGACATAGAGTGGATGCCTGGATAGCATCTGTCTCAAAATTTTCCATGAAAACATTGGCTACAACTGGAGATAAGGGAGAACCCTTTGGGGTACCTTCAACTTGCTTGTAGAATGTTCCATTCCAGGTGAAGTAAGTATTGGTGAGGCAGTTTTTCACTATGGCCGGTACATAAGCATTCAGTCCTTGTTGGACCAAACCTTGAATGATTGCAATGGTGTCAGGCACAGGAACTTTGGTAAACATAGAGACTACGTCGAAACTAACGAGCAAATCTAGTGAGATGTCCTTAATTAATGATACCAAGTGAGCTGAGTTGAGTACAGCTGAGGTAGTCTTACCAGTAAATGGTTGTAAGGTCTCAGACAGGAATCGGGCCAGTTTGTAGGTGGGTGAGTCAATGGTGGAGACGATAGGACGAAGGGGTGTACCCTCTTTATGGATTTCTGATAAGCCATACAATCTGGGTGGTCTAGCAGTAGAGGGTTTTAAGGAAAACAGCTTGGTTGGTTCGATTAAAGATGTCAAATTGGTGATCTTGTTGGTTTTCGTAATGAGATTGTTGGTGGGATCTCTTTAAATTTTTGTATAGCTCCTATCATTAAGTAGGTCCTGAATTTTATTATTGTATGTGTTTTTGTCCATGATGACTGTGGCATTGCCCTTGTCGGCTGAGAGGATGACTATGTTATATCTCTTTTTTAATTGAGAAAGCACAAAGCGCTCACCCTTACTGATGTTGCTACTACAGTGAGGGAAACAAGTAATTGATTCCCTGCTGATTTTGTACGTTTGCCCACTGACAAAGAAATGATCAGTCTATAATTTTAATGGTAGGTTTATTTGAACAGTGAGAGACAGAATAACAACAAAAAATCCAGAAAAATGCATGTCAAAAATGTTATAAATTGATTTGCATTTTAATGAGGGAAATAAGTATTTGACCCCCTCTCAATCAGAAAGATTTCTGGCTCCCAGGTGTCTTTTATACAGGTAACGAGCTGAGATTAGGAGCACTCCCTTTAAGAGTGTGCTCCTAATCTCAGCTCGTTACCTGTATAAATGACGCCTGTCCACAGAAGCAATCAATCAGATTCCAAACTCTCCACCATGGCCAAGACCAAAGAGCTCTCCAAGGATGTCAGGGACAAGAGTGTAGACCTACACAAGGCTGAAATGGGCTACAAGACCATTGCCAAGTAGCTTGGTGAGAAGGTGACAACAGTTGGTGCGATTATTCGCAAATGGAAGAAACACAAAAGAACTGTCAATCTCCCTCGGCCTGGGGCTCCATGCAAGATCTCACCTCGTGGAGTTGCAATGATCATGAGAACGATGAGGAATCATCCCAGAACTACACGGGAGGATCTTGTCAATGATCTCTCTGGGACCATAGTCACCAAGAAAAACATTGGTAACACACTTCGCCGTGAAGGACTGAAATCCTGCAGCGCCCGCAAGGTCCCCCTGCTCAAGAAAGCACATATATCTTCTTGGTTCTTTCGGTAAAGGCACGTAGAATGGAAATAAAATAATAATAAACATACTAAAATGAAATTCTCACGACGTTTCGGCCACAACACAAGTAGCCTTCTTCAGGTGAAGAAACAGGTCTGTCCAGAAGACAGCACCTGAGTGAACACTGCCGAGCATGGACCACGTCTTTCAAGCTGTGTGGGCGGAATTAACATATGAATTAGCATGTCACCCAGCCCCACCTCCGGAGCAGAGGAGGGTGGTGGCTGGGCACACAGAAAAATACCAAAGCAGAGCAGCTAAGGTGCGCTGCTCTGTCCTGTGTTGCATTATAACTATGCTATAAACTGGACTACTATACAATACAATATTATACCTTCCAATCTAAACTACATGGTATAATATCATATCCATAGACAAATTCCACCTTTGAATTATACAATGTGTTACTTTACACTACCCTATACTTTAAACTATAAAATATTAGACTTGTAACATTACACTGTGTCTTATTCTATGAACCCAACTATATACCACACTGCTGTACATTACTATGCAATTACGATACTATATATTACCTTATGAATTATGTTAAACATTACCATGTTATACTATTTATTATTATACCACATGCTATAAACCATACCATTACCCGTGGTGTGAGAGGTATTAAGGGGCAGTGCCAGCGAATGGACTGCAGTCTGAAGGTCACCGTAAAATACAATCAATTAAGAACCGAAATGGTTTATAACATCTTTCCAATGGTTACTAAGCCAGAATCCATCTTCTCGGTTGAAATTGTCTCTGTGTTTGTATATGTGAATGGCCTTATGAACGAATCTCTCATGGTAGCCGAATGGCTTGCAGAGAACCTCCGTCTTGGAGAAGAAAATTCTCAAAGACGGAGGTTCTCTGCAAGCCATCTGGCTACCATGAGAGATTCATTCATGAGGCCATCAATGTCTACATCGGATTGGGAACATGTAGACAATATGACTGCCTCTTCAGCTGCCACTATGTCGACCAAATGTAAGAACAATTTGATTTCCAAATTCAACTGCCTTTCCAACAAGAAATCGGACCCACACACCGAAAAGCTAGACGTTAACAAAGTCGTAATTAATCGCAGTTTTATTTCTGATGATCTGAAAGCCGTTTTAGCTAAAGGGCTAAACTTTGCAGTCACACCGAGACACATACCGGTTAATGATATCATTGCCCATGTCGACGTTGCTCTCAAGGGCCTGGGTCACATCGCTGCAGACGTAGCAAGATCTGAAATTGCTGCAACCCTCAAAAACGCTAAGATGCCACCTAGCAACATCAGCAAAGATGAGCGCTTTGTATTATCTCAATTAAAAAAGAGAGATGACATTGTCGTCCTCTCAGCCGACAAGGGCAATGCCACTGTAATCATGGACAAAATAGAATATAACAACAAAATTCAGGAACTACTCAACGATGGCAGCTATACAAAAATAAGAAGAGACCCCACCAACAGCCTGGTTACTAAAACCAACAAAATCATTTCTTTTCTAGATTTAAAGCTTTCGTGACTGCAAGGATCCATACTCTTTGGTTTTATTCGGTAAAGTCACATAGGTAAAAAATAAAACAACAAAAATCACGACGTTTTGGCCACAACACAAGCGGCCTTCATCAGGTGAAGGGACCAGGCTGTCTCGAGGACAGCGCTGGAGTG